GTCATATGTGAGCAGTGCAGCACTGCCCGCCTGGCCCTGTGCAGACGCTGTGAAATTAACTCCCGAGCCCTCCCGCAGGTGCCAGGCCGACTGACATTTCCAGCGGGCTCTGCTCGGGCTGCTCTTGGCTCCTTGTCCTTGCAGAGGGGACGAGGCAGTGGCATGACCACCACAACCAACTAATTGCTGCAGCCTGGTGCTTCAGCCACCGTCGGTCATCTGCCTGTGTGGGTGCTAGAAGAAGTCGCATGAGCCTGTATGGTGGGTGGGGTGTGGGCAGGATGGTCTTTGTCCTGTGGTTCCTGTCCCTGGGACTAAGATGATCCCCACAGGGGCTGAGGTGGGCACACGTGGGTGGGCACCGGGGTATCAGAGCCCTCATCCAACCCTCAGAGAGCTTCACATCCTTGGGGCAGGAGTTGGAGGCAGGAAGGGCCCTGTCCCCATTGGGGGCTGCCATGGGGTGACTTCCCTCACGTAGCCCTTTTGCTGAGATCGCACCCTGGTTCTGTGGGCTCAGCCCCTCTGGCCTGACTGGTCCTCCATTGGGGAGGAGCAGGCAGGGAGAGGAACAGGCAGGGGTGCCTTAAAGACAGCACCGCCCTGCCCTAAAGGGATGGTGGGTACACGGGACCTGGCGGCATCCAGCCCGGGAGGTGACCCAGCAGCTGCATGGGCAGAGCTTAGGGGAGCCCGCAGGGTGACAGTGCTGGAAGCCCTGTTGCTCGTCGTCCCTTGGTGACTGATGGCGCCTGAGCAGGTCCCTGCTCCCAAGACGGTCTGTGTGCCTCTTCCTGACACACTCATTTAATTTTTAACTCACAAGACATTTGCTTATTTATTTTCATTGTTCTTGATAATAATTCTAAGCCATTAGAGGAGAAAATTATATTCAAAAATGCTGTTTCACACTTTATTTGTTTGATGATTTAGAGCGATAGAAAATAGCACATTTGCTGGCTTTTATAGTCTGATAATTATTCACATCCATCAAGCCATTCCAGGGGAATAAACAAAACACCAAGAAAATTACACTATTAATAGCATCCTCCGCGGTGGACGGAAGACTTCCCAGACCAGCGTGGCAGCATGGCGCACGGCCCCACCCCAGGGTGGGCCACTCCCTGAGGGCCTCCTCCGAAGACCCATAGCCGTGCTGCGAAGGTGGACTCATGGCGCAGCAGCTCAGGGTCAGACTTCTCTTTCTTTGTTGAGACAGGGTCTTGCCAGGGTGCCCAGGCTGGCCTCCATCTCACAGTCCTCAGCTGTCCTGTGAGGGCAGTGGGGGCTCATGGAAAGAGCAGGTCCCGCCTGCTTCAGTGCTGCCCACTGCCCTTACAGGCCTGTCCCCTCCTGGACACAAGCTGGGCTGTGGCTTGGCCAGATCATGCTCAGTACCTGCTTTTGTCCCTTAGGGAAGTTTGTGGGTTCTGAGTGCTGCCCTTTTGGGGTGGCAGTAAGTACAGGGGGTGATATTCCCTGCTCAAAATGCTTCTAAGCAGGAGAGAAGAGCCAGGAAAGGTGGAGAGCCTGGGACTGCCCACCTTCCCCAGCTGTCCTGTTCCTCCCAGACTCAGGGTATTACTTCTTCCTGAGGGTTTTTTGGTAAATTTTATTTTTGTTTGTGCTACTGGGATTAAACCTGGGGACTGCACCCTGAGCTATGTCCCAGCCTGGTTGATTGATTGATTGATTGATTGATTGACAAGGTCTCACTAAGTCTCTACATTGCCCAGGGTAGGGTTGAACTTTCTTCCTGCCTCCGCCTCTCAGCATCCTGGGCTCACAGGTGTGTGCCTCTATGCCCGGCCCATCTGGAACCTTCTGTCCAGAGCTCATCCTCACTCTACTTCTTGCGTGTTGCCCTGCGGGCTCTTGAGTTGTTAACCTGCTGAGCTGAGTTTTGTTTCTCAGCTGTTGTGTGATTCACACATCTCACATCCCTGGCTCAGGATGATAGGCCTTGGCCCGTCTGTCTCCTGGGCCTCCCTGTGCACATACACCTATACCTCATCAGAGTTCTATTTTCTCCTAAGCCCCTCATGCTTTTTGAAAAGGACAGCTGGGAAGTGAGGCTGGCTTAGTCCCCTCAGTGGTGCCAGGAAGCTCTGCTCAGTCCTCAACTCCCAGCATCCTGTCTGGGGTCACCTGCAGTGGTTGCCAGGGAGACAGTACCAGGGCTGGTGGGGATGCAGATCGGAGTATTCATGAGTTTCTAGTTCAGAGTCTTCCAGAGCTTTGTGCAGAGCATTCAAAAACAGAAGGTAGGGGCCAGGGAGATGGCTCAGTAGAATAAATGCTTCCCTGGCAAGTGCAAGGGTCTGAGTTCAATCCCTGGTTCTGCCCCTCCCCCAAACAACAACAAAAAGAAAACCCAGGAGGTAGGGAGGAACAGGTGGGGGGTCAGGGAATGTCAGAGAGATGCCCAAGTCATGGCTGCACTTTTATGTAGAGCTATCTAGAACCATAATTCCCGGGGTGGAGGGACCTCAGCAGCTCCTCCCAAGGGCTCCCTACAGCCTACCAGGCGCCAGGCCTCTGTACCCTCTGCACATCTCCCCATTACCCTGTGGGCCCACCCCCAGAACACGCCCCAGAAGAGGCCGGAGGGATGTGCCTTGGCCTTGCATGGACCTGAGCTCTAGGCGAGGGTGGTGAAACTCTTAGAGCTTTCAGTGATACAAACAGTCTGCTCCAGCATGTGAGCCACAGGTCACCACCACTGCTCTAGAGGTGGAACTGGGCTGGTCCTAGAGGCACAGAGGAGCTGGAGGACAAGGACAGGGAGGTGTTCACTGCCTGGGCTGGTAGGATTGAGCCCTGGGGAAGTCTGGTCTGAGGACCTGGTGCAGCCTGCTGTAGGGAAACCCTGAGGACCCCACTGCTGCCCAGTGGATGGGCTGTATGGCATTACAGGAAGTGGAACAGATCGATTCTGGTGATGCAGTTTGACCTTGTGATGGGGACCAAGCTCCTGGGAAGCGAGACAGACTGGCTCCCCATGTCGGTGACCAATAAAACTGACCTGTTTTACAGCCCCAAGAAGTTGCTTGCTGATCGTCACACAGATGCTCCTGCTGCCTTGAGCTGCTGTGAGCAGAGCTCGCCAGCCCAAGCCCCCTCTCCCTGCTGTTCCCGTCTCCACAGCAGGACCCCAGTGTCAGGGAGGCCGGTGGATGCCCGGCCCGGGTGGCCAGTGCTGAGGCAAGCCGGCCAAGCTCTGGGGGCCTGGTCCTGCTCTCACAGCACTGGTGCTGTGATGTGACTTGTCACAGCCCCGCTCCTCCAGCTGTGTGCCCTGTCCTCATGGTCCTGCACCTGTGCTGCCCCCCTGAGTTCCCAGGAACACCAGGTAGAAGTTGTGCTGAGGCCTGTGGCTCCCCCCGGGGATGATGCCTGTGCTGGCATCCTCTTCCAGGTGGCCCCCAGGCCTGAGCTGAAGGGCACAGCCGTGCTCTGCACACTGGAGCTTTGCTGAGGTTCTCACTTGGCCTGAGTCATCCTGGGCCAGGTGCTCTGGCTTCAGGTCCTGGGGACCATGAGGCTGCTGCTAGGCTGTGCCAGGGGGTTCAGTGGCAGTGCTGCTTGCTCCTGGGCAGTACCAGCAGCAGAGTCCAGACGTCCCTAGGGTCACCCAACTTCCCAGCCAAGAGCCCTTCTAATCTCTCCAGGGGCCTGCATCCTGCAGGCTGTACTTCCTGATAACAGAGGAGCCTTGTTGCAACGTATTAAACTTTTAACATCCACCAGATTCAATTAATCTTATCTTTACAACTCCCAATTACAGGCGGTAATTAAGTGAAAGCTGCATTGTAGATGGGGGATATTGCATTAATCATCCCAGCCCTGCAGCTGTGAATTAGCTCCTCATGTCCTCTGTCGTCTTTCTCTAGTGGGTGGGCCCAGGGCCCACTGAGGTGCTGGGATTAGGATTAACTTCTATCAGCTGTGTGTAAGTGATAAAGGGCCCTTTAAGGAAAGACAACCTCGGCTTTGTCCAGGCAGTGGAAATCGTGGCACAGCAAGGAGGCTGAAGGTGCCTGGGTGGCCATGGGCAGGGGCCTGGGAGTGTGCCCAGAAATTAATTACAGTATTTTATTTAGATAAGAGGCGACATGACATTTGCTTTATCTTCCATCCCTCCCTCTTCAGTAGAAAAATCTAAACCTCTTGCTGGGAGTGGGCCTTGGAGCTGGAGGCGATCTTTCTGATACATTTCTCGTCCTGGCTGTGTGTGTCCTGGACGTGGGCAAGGGTGGTTGTGTGTTGCACCCTCCTCAGCTGTGACGCCACTGGAGTGGCAGATGGGCAGTGTGGACACTAGGCTGTCCTGGGCAGTGCTGGGTGCTGGGCAGTGCTTATGGCTTCCGCCTATTCCATGCCAGGGGCTCCCGCAAACTGTGATGGCCATATGTGCCCCCAAACATGGCCCAGGGCCTGGTGGTGAGGTTTCTATCCTGCCCTGGGCAGGCCGGGCGGGTGCATCTGCTGGTGAAGGCCTCCTAGCACCTCCCCACAGCCCCCTGGCCCGAGGCTCTGGGCAGTCTTCCCTGGGGAGAGGCCCAGCAGCTGCGCCGCCAGCTTCCCTGCGCAGTGTTGGCGGCGTGTCACTCCTACGGCATCTGTTTGCAAACTCCCAACTTACATCTCCCTTACTGATGACAGAGCCCCAGTAATCTTTGAAATATAAAATGTGTAAAAATAACTCTCAAAGTGGGTGACAAGTGAAACTTCTCATTCCTGAAGCTGCTTTTCCTGGTTGGCTCCTGGTCCAGGCCATGGGTAAGACAGGCTGGAGAACCAGCTTCAAAGCCTTCTGGTCTGCTTGCTGGGGACCACACCCTCCCTACTCCCGGGGAGCCTCCCCACTCCGGGCTCCACAAGCCCAGGCTCTGCTGCTTGGTCAGATGCTGGGGCTCTGTCTAACAGCCTTTTTCCACTGTGGAGTCTGTTCCTGTCTGGGCGGGTGTGCTCTGTCTGACACCTCCCTTCTCTCGCAGGTACGCCATCCCACCGGAGCACGGCAAGCGCTTGGAGCGGCTAGCCATCGGTAGGTGTCTGCGAATGCGGCCCACATGGGGTGGGCAACAGGCCTGGGCCAAGGCCAGAGAGCAGTCATTTCCCCCTCCCCCCAGGAGAGGCTGCTGTCAGAGTTCTGTTTTGTTTTTGTTGTGTTTTATGGTAGGGATGGAATCCAGGCCCTTCATAATGAGCTGTAACTCCAGCCCTTTTTAATTTGGAGATAGGTCTCACTAAGCCACTAAGTTGTTCGGGCTGGGCTCGAACTTGTTATCCTCCTGCTTCAGCCTCTAGAGCATTGGGACCACAAATGTGTACCATTGTACCCAGCTTTGGGCTCTGGTTTGGGGAGCCATGATGTCCTGTGAGAGGGGATCCACAGGGTCCCCACTGTGTGCCCAACCTCTTTGTGAGTTCCCAGAATGCTGGTGCCGTAGCAGCCCCTACTTTCTGGGTCCTTCCTAGGTCAGGGGCCTGTGCGCCGTCCCGAGGCCTCAGCGCTTGCCCGGTTTCCCTGGCATAGCTGCCGTGTTGGTCTTGGCTCGCTCTTCCGGGTCTGGTGGGGCCATAGGCCACTCGTGCACTTGCATAGCAGTGCCATGGCTGCATGCCACCTGCCCTGCTCAGTGCCCCAGGCTGCCCACGTCCTCCCTGGGAACTTTCAGGCATAGGCACGTGTCAGATGGCGGGGTCCCAGACACAAGCAAGATACCACAAGGCTGCTGAGCACCCAGTATGTTCCCTGGGTCAGATCCTGTCACTGTTCCTGCTCTCCCCGCCTTGTGGAAGCCCTGCTTCCCTGGCATCAGGTGGCACCTGCATGCCTGGACAGACACAAAAAGTCTTACCTAGGCTGTCAGCTGTGTCGATCACCTGAGGCCAGGTCACCTAGTAGCAGCAGGATGTGCTGCCTGTAGTCACAGTCTCTCAGTTGCTCACACACATGGTGTCTGCTCTGGGTGCTGTGTGGGTCTGGCTGCCGGGGCAAGCGAGCCCTTACGCCGCCTGGGAGAGGGCCCTTCTCTTGGTCGGGGCCTCTCTCTCCTCTGCAAGCCCCGCCTCTTTTTCATAGTGTGACACTGGGTTGAGTTCCTTGTCTCTGTCTTCACAAACAGTGGGCAAGAAGCAGGTAATCTTAGTGCAACCTGGGACAACTCAGGACCCAGGAAAGGGAGGACAGTGAGGACCCGCATGCACCAGGAGCCTCTCTGGTCACCGTGCACCTTCTGATGGTAGTTGGTGGGGATCCAGGACTCTGAGGCTTATGTGGAAGTCACCCTTGGCGTTGGCATGGAGTCTCCAATTACCCAGCTGTTGTCCTTTGGCCCAGAGCATAGCTGCCACATGCTGTCTCTCCCTACTGGTTTTGTACTGGTGGGACAGGGACAGCCCCTCCTGATGAGGGAGTCCTGTAGTGGCTCCTCAGTGACTGGACTGCCCTCCGAGTGTTGAAGGAGGGCACCAGCCCGCAGCGTACTCCAGCTTTGGATGTGGCCTGGCTGGCCCTGCTTCTGAGCGGTTCTGGTGGACACTCAGCTCTGCTTTCATGGGAAGGGCCTGTCCTTGGTCCCAATAATGCTTGCTTCCTGTAGAAATTGTGGTTTTGGATGGTCTCTAGGGAGGCAGGCATTTATGTATCTGAGCTCTCAAAAGACAAAAGAAGAGAGTTTTCTACATTGTATTTTTTTGTTGTTGTTGTTTTGTTTTTGTCTTCTTGAGACCAGGATCTCATTATATGGTTCAGGCTGGACTTCAACTGACCATGTAGCCCATGCTGGCCTGAAACTCACAGTGATCCTCCTGCCTCAGCCTCTGGAGTGCTGGGATCACAGGCCTGTGCCACCACACCTAGTATATTGTACTTAAAAAAAATTACAAACTTTAATTTTAAAATATAAAGAAATATTTTTCTAAAAAAAATATTTTTCTGATGAATTTTCTGTTGTCATTACAATAAAGAACTATGCATTTAATGACTCTAAACAACATGAACATAAAAAAAAATAAACAACATGAACTAATAGTTCTGTAGGTTAGATATTTGCGACTCTAGTGGTGGCTCAGGGGAGCACCCAGGTCTCTGTCCAGACTCCTAGAGCACCGACCGCCCTGGGCTTGTGGCTGCTCCACCAGCTTCAGAGCCAGCAGCATCACATTTCGGCCTCTCTTCAGGCTCCCATCCTCCCTCAGTGGCTTCCGAGCACTGGGCCCAGGTGGTCAGAGTGGTCTCCAGGGGCCATCAGTTAGCCTAGCTGTGGAGTCCCTGCTGTGGCTGCTGTTAGGTGGCTGAGGTGATGGAGCCGCTCACAGTTGTGACTCAGAAGTCCGAGGACTCTGGGGAGGACTGTGCCTGCCTCTCCGCACCTCCCGAGTGGCCGCAGCTTCAGTCTGTCCAGCTTCACATCCTCCCGGCACTGCTGAGGTCCCAGGGCCCTAGTGGCAGGTTTCCTCACTAGCCGCGTGCAGAGACCTCCGAAGGCAGGTGGAGTAAGCCAGCACGCCAGGATTGTGTTCCATGCAGTGAATCTCCACATTTCTTGAAATCCAAGGACTTCCCTCCAGGTGCAGCAACTGTCCAGAATTTGAGGTGCGGTTACCCTTAACCCAGAGATAGAATAGCAGCAGCAGAAAGAGGCATCAGATGACAGAAGAATTAGCTGAGCCCCTTGGCAGCCCCAGATCAGGTCCCTGCCACACTTTGGGGGGCTGTGTCACGGGCTTTGTGGAGGAGACTGGGAGCAGGTTTGCAATTAATATGGAAAATGAATAGTGCACTAGGAATGGGCTCACTGGGAGAGTTGTGGGGCCCATGGAGAGAGCATTAATGTGCTGCCGCATTATTGGTGCTAAATACTTAAAATGTGCGCCTTTATTAGAGCTTTAATGAGAGCCACTTAAACTGTGCATTAAAAAGAGGAATTGCAGCATGGCCGCCGGCCGGGAGGCAGGCAGTCATAACTCTAATTGAAATGCTCTTAGTGCTAGGAAAGTCGCTGGATTCAGTGGTCCTGGACTTTCTGGAACCTCACTGCTGTGTCCGCTCTTGCACCTCCTACTAGCCCGGGTCGGGGGAGGGGGGAGCCCGCACTCTGTGCCCACCATGTGTGTCAGCAACCTGCCCAGAGGCCCTGCTGCCCTGGGCCCTTGTCCCCTGCAGGTGCCAGGACAGCCCCTGGGCAGAGCCATGGCACAACAGGTGAGCGAGTCCCTACCTACTCCTGGCCTGGCTGTGTGGTCCATCCTGGGCACAGTGCCTGTGATTCGGGGCCATCCCTTCAGCAGCAGTGACCACGCACCCCTGAGGGGTAGGTCTGCTGTGGGATGGATGCTTGCGTCCCAAGTGGTGTCTGCCACAAGGGGTGGGAAAGCAGCTGTGAGCCCCAAGCAGAATTCACAGCTGTCCTTTTCTGTGGCTGATGGGCGATTGGAGGTTTGGGGCTGAGGCTGGGTTGTTTTGTGGTCTGGGGTGGTGGGCGTCTATGGGCAAGGGTGCTGTGTGAGATACAGAGCCAGGTGTGACTGGAGTTGGAGGCTCAGGCCCAACTGCCAGCTCTCCCTGTGGACTCATTGTGCCTGCAAGGAAGGACCCCGTGTTCGGTGTGCCTGTCGTGTCCCATAGTCCCTGGTTCCACATGGCCTTTCTGTTCCTTTCCATGTGAACAGCTGCAGCTGTTGTGTACTGCCCACCCCCTTGAAGCAGCGGCCAGACCCCATGCAGCCAGTGGGCAGGGCCCACGTGTTGGCCCCCTCAGAGCTGTGACCTGGGCTCTGTGTCTGACTGCAGGTCTCACGGGGCACCTGCCTAGCCCCATACAGCCCCTGACTGACGCTACTTCTGTCTGTCCAGGCTTCTTCCCCGGGAGCTCGCAGGGGTGCGATGCCTTTCTGCGCCACAAGATGACGCTCATATCACCCATCATCCTGAAGAAGTATGGGATCCCCTTCAGCAGGGTGCGTACAGGCTGGCACCGACTCTGGGAGGGGTTTGGGGCCCCAGGAGAGCAGCTTGTTGGCCCTGGAGTAGGTTCTGGAAAAATGCCCAGCAGGGAGGCAAAGGTATGGCTGAGGTGGCTCCATCTCTTGTGTGGGTGGGAGGAAACAGGGAACCTTCGAATCAGGCAGGTCTCAGCTTGCCTTCCCCTGCCCTTTCCTCTCCTCAGGCGGCCCCTCTGCTGAGGGGCCAACAAGTCCACTCCCCAGGGCCTACAGTGGGTACCAAGGACGGGTACAAATGTGAAAGGTGAGGTGGCTCCTGCAGGTGTGCTGGGAGCCCCTAAAGACCCTGCCCTGTCTCCATGAGCTGTCTCCCTGCCCCTGCCCCTTTCGAGCCTATGACAAGTGCTGTCTAGCAGGATCTGCTATGTGACAAGCCCCTGGGCCTGTACCTGCGCTAGTGTACCTTGGGGTTGGCAGACTCAGGTGCTATTGGGTCCTGGAGGCGGCTCTGCTCAGGCACAGGCCTGTGTGCTGGGGTGGGATAGGTGCGTGCCCTGGAAAAGAAGCCCCTGGAGCACCCAGCTAGGTTTCCTGGGCCGGACAGTTTGTCAGCCCCAGAAGCCAGCTCTGTGACGCAGCCCTCACCCTGCTCTCCACCTCCACGTCAGCAGGTCGGAAATTGCTTCTGACATTTTAATTGCCCGCCTTCAGCTCAGCCTGCTTTGGGTGTGCTGCTTGTCGGGTGCAGCTAGGGAGGGCAGGGCCCCAGCCCCGCTAGGCGGGCAGGCGGGCAGGTGGGCAGGGGAGCGGAGCACTGCATGTATAGGTGTCCTGTTCCTCCGCACTGGAGGCCCTCGTCCTTGGACATGAGCCCACCAATTCCATAGCCCCTGCCGTCTCCCTGGTCCTCTTCTAGATGGCGCTGTAGTTCACACAGCTCGCTCAGCGCAACTGACCAGGGCATTGGCCTTCAGCTGTATTCCTCATCCTGGCCCTGCTCAGGGCCCGAGCATCTGTGGCCTGTGAAGCCCTATGCCACTCACCCTTGGGTGGCACCACAGACCCCAGAAGCTACAGGCATGGACCCAAGTCCAGCGTGGACCTCCCTCATCTGAATTCCCAGCACTCTTCAAAAGAGTGACTGCCTACACTCCACTCCGCTTATAAATCTTCGTAATGGTATTTACTTCTCAAAGAAAAAGCAGATCAATAGCAGAGCCTTCAATAATTAACAGTGTGTACTTCTGCAATCTGCGTGGACTCCCTCGTTTACTCTGTGTGCACTCATGGAAGGCCCTGCGTCTGGGCTCCATGGCCCGTGGCGGCTGGCACAGGTGACTTAGCTGGGCCCCATCCATCATCCCCAGCGCCTCCAATTTATTGTCAGCTTGTGTTGACAGCAGTAACATGGAAGACAGACACTGTGGGCTCCAGATGCTGCCCCTGGGATGTAGGTGTTCCGACAGAGCATGGTCTTTGCCAGGCCTTGGAGCCGTGGGAGTGCAGCAGGCAGGACAAGCCCCCCATGTCCCCTGAGCCAGTGCCTGCCACTGACCCATCACGTCTAGTTTTCAAACAAGGGAGTCTCAGCTGCACCCCAGAAGGCTCTAGTCTGGTAACTTCCAAAACAGTGTGCTGTGATCCGCAGGCCTGGCCTCTGCTACTCAGGCAGCCTATGGAAGGTAAGGGGCGCCTGTGGGGGTGTGAGGAGGCCCAGCAGGGACATTGTAGGGCCACTCCGTGGCTGAGAAAATCAGCAACTGTACAGAAAGCCACAAGGTCCCAAACTTGACTTTACCTCACCCACTGCCTGGAGCACTGAGTGAAGCAGAGCCAGGGTCTGCGCCGTGGATGGCGGTTGCTTGGGCCTCAGGGCCTCTGGTCCCCCTTGCACTCCATCCTGTCTCATGCAACTGTCACTTGGACAGGGATTTAAAAATATAATTTAATGCACACTGACTTCCCTTGATTGGTGCAATTAATTACTTGAACAGAAAAATATAATGTTCTTAAGGACCGGCTTTTCTCCAGGCTGTGTCAGTTGTGATTGGTTTTTGTGGTGGTGGTTGCTTCTAGAAGCCTCTCGCTGGGCTCCACCACCCTCCAGGGCTCTGCCTTCACTTGTTCCCTGAGTCCAGGGACTTCCTCGTGTCTCCCCAGTGGAATAAGTACAGATTAGCCAGCCTTGTTAGTGCCTGCAAGTCAACAACGAAAGCACATGCAGCCAGAGCTGTGAGTGGCATAGCACTCTGGGAGGCTGAGCCAGGAGGGTTGCATGTTCAATACCAGCGCAGCAACTTAGCAACTCAGTGAGACTGTCTCAAAAACTAAAAAGGGCTGAGGATGGAGTTGAGTGTCAATTGAAGCCATGGCTTCAATTCCCAGGACTGCAAGAAAAAAAAAAAGGAAAATAAAAGACAAGCAACCTGATCGATCAGGGTGGAAAGTGTGAACAGACACAACAAAGGGGATGTGTGACTGTACTCATAGGACCTGGCGTTGACCATCCATGTGGTGGCACCCCAGAGCTGTGGGCATGGCGGGAACCACAACTAGGCCCCAGCCCAACAGGCTCTAGGCACTGGCTCAGCCCCCCTCACAGCCTATGCTCAGAGGAGGCCGTGTACCCTCGAGGACTTGGGGACACACACAGCAGTCTGTGTGGGAGGTCCCTGTGTGTGCAGGAGGAGATGGTGATACAGAGCCAGTGTCCACACAGTAGGTTTCAGCTGTGTATTAGGTGGGAGCCAACTGCTGCTCATGACAGTGGGGCACACCAAGCAGGGGACACCTACAGGTATGTGCCCAGTACCTGACTCCACGTGTGCGCTGCAGGACAGCAGCCAGGTCACCAGGTGACTGCTTGTGGGGGGTGGGGCTGTGACAGGCTCCTCCCCAGTGTGGGCATGGCCAGAGCCCCTGCAACCCACCATGATGTAGGTGCCTAGATGTGGGTGGAGTTGCTGCAGCCTGCTCGCTCAGAGTCCCTTCAGTGGAGACTCAGTCTCCATGCCTGTGACTTGGCCCCATGTTGTCTCTGGGAGGCACTTTGCCAGGTCCCAGGACAGCAAGTGGAAACAGTTCCTGCTGTCATCTGTCATGGACCTGTCACAAAGTGTGTCAGTGATGGCCAAGCACCCAAGTGTCCCTTCCCTGGAAGGGGCAAGGAGCTCTGATAAGGCTGTGAGCCACAGCAGCAGTGGGCACCACCCCTGACTCTGTTCTGGTGGCCCTTGTGGCAGTTTGGGTCCTGTGTCACCGTGGCCCACTTTGTGACCTCTGTGGCTTGGGGTGTGTGACTGCAGGCAGTCTGGCCCACTATCTGAGCTGGCTGTGGACACCGGAGTTCCCCTCGGCAGAGTTCTGATCATGGCTGCAAGCCCCCTGAATGCTGACTGTGGCCTTCGAAGCCTCTTCTAGTGCCCTCTGGAGTTCTTGAGGATTAAGGCTAGTGACAGTGACTTGAGGCAGGTTGTCTTCCAGGCCTGTGGCCTACACATAGCCTCTTATACCTGGCGGACACTGTTCTGGAGCCTCCACCTACAAGGAGCCTGTTACAGAGGCTGCAGGGGTGACATCCCCTCCAAACAGGGGACCTGTGCTCACTTGAGGCATTCAGCATGACAAATGGCCATGTCCCAGAGCTCAACAGTCTGCATCTGTTGTCCCCTGGGAGGATGCTGTCCCCTTGGATGTAGCCCATGGCCATACTCCTTGCCCAGGGTCAGCGAGGCCCCAGACCTCAGAAACTCCCTTGCCTGTGGGATGTGCCTTCACCCAGGCCTTGACTCCTCCCTTTGGACCCTTCCTGACCTCCACACCCCTCACCTTCTGCTTTCCCTCCTCAGATCACGCAGGAGGCTGGGGAGTTCATGATCACCTTCCCCTACGGTTACCACGCTGGATTCAATCATGGGTTCAACTGTGCAGAATCTACCAATTTTGCCACCCTGCGGTGGATTGATTACGGCAAGGTGGCCACGCAGGTAGGTGCCAAGGGTTTGGTGGGGGGCCTTGTGCGTGGGAGTGGCCTTTCCCTTGCTGTGGTGGCTGGTCTGCTTCTGAGGTCCTGGGGCATGAGCGAGAAGGTTCCTGACCTTGAGGCTGGGAGCAGTGAGAGGTGAGGTGCCCAACGACCTGGGCTGATCCTGGGTTTGTCTGCAGCAGCCTCAGAGCCAGGAGACACTATGTCTGAGGGCTTCTTGCTGACTTTGGGGTTGCCAGAAGTTATGAAAAGATAAGGAGATGAGTCTGTGTCCCCAGGAATTTGCTGTGCCTGGTCTGAGGACTTGTACTGGTGACATGTGACAGTGAACTGTGTATGTACACAGCACCCTGAGATGCTTCCTGTAGCTACTGTCCCTCCAGGACCCGTGTCCCAGTGCCCTGGAGAAGACTGAGCTTCTCCCCCAGCCCGGGACTCAGGCTGCAGGCCCTGGTCCTACACTGCTCCTCACTCAGTGCTGTCTTGGCCATCCTGTCCCTTCTGCCATGTGACAGCCAGGGATGGCTACAGTCCTGCCCCAGGTGACGACAGGTGGTCCCTTCCAGTTTCTCCAAGTGTTACTCCAACAAGCATTCTGCTTGGAAGCCAGGACTCAGGGTGGCCTGGTGTCCTGAGGGGCAGCGCTGGTCTGGGTGCTAACCTGCCTTCTATGTTTCAGTTGCTTGTTTCTCTGTCTTAGTTGCTGCAGTGCTGGTTCCAATTCCTTGTGTTTTTGCAGCACTGGGAATGGAACCTGGTGCCTCGTCTGTACTAGAGAGCATGCGTTGCTGTGCTGCACCCCCATCTGAGCGAGCTCAGGAGCGATGAGGGGCTGCGTGGCGGGAGGGTTGGAGCTGTGTTCCAGGCTGCAGCTCTGAGCTTGGCGGTGGGAATCTTCTCTGGGAAAGTCATGGGCTTGGCTTGGTGAGAACAGAGCCAGGGGTTCAGCACTTGCTGGAGTTTGAGGTAAAACAGTAATTCAGCATCTCAGGCCACAGTGCAGTGGCCAGGTTACGTGGCTGTGCGCGCATCACCACAGACCTCACCCAGCATGTCCCGCAGGTGCTGTCACTGCCCAGGCTGCATGGGTGTTGGGGCCTGCCCAGACATGAAAGGCAATTTTGGGTGCAGCCATGTGTCCACAAACAAGTGACACTTGGGAAGTGTGGCCTCGCTTGGGCCTCCATGCTGACATTGTTAGGTGGCAGAGCGTGAAATTGCTGATGACTGGCACTGTGCTTTCAGGGAGCTCTGGGTGGAACTTCTCGCAGGCCCCAGCCCTGCCTCCACAGTGCTGTGAGGTGCTAGGCCCGGCAGAGGCTCCAGCTCCGGGCTGCACGACGGGGACAGGGCAGTGGGTCCCAGTGCTCCCTGGAGAAAGCTGGGCAGGTGGGAGGCGGGAATAGGTTGGGTTGTTGCCTGAGGCTTCTCCGGCCTGTGTGAAGAGGAATCCCTTGACCCCCTACTGCTCTTCCTTGTGGCCTGGGCACCCATCTACCTGCCTCAAGGCCAACTGCTTGTCACACACGTCAGGGAACCAAGAGGTCATCTACGCTTGTGCTTGAAGGCTGAGTGGCTAGGGTTGAGTCCCCATGGCCTGGCCTGGCCTGCCCTGAGCCCTGCAGCTGCAGGTAGAGAGCTACATACTGCCCCCCAGCCTGCATCCGTCTCAGGTGTTCAGTCAGGAGGTGTAGATCAGGCCCTCAGGCTGGGCCCAGCCAGCAGTTTTTATCCTGTCAGCAGAACAGGCATGATTTTTACATCTTCAAAGCTTTTGGGGAAACTGAAACATGTGGCCTGTGGCAATTACAGAAGTCAGGTTATATTCACAAGGCCATGTCTGTGGGGCACAGCCACACCAACCATTGTGTGGCCAAGGCTGCTCCACCCTGCAGCACCAAAGTTGGCAGCTCAGAGCCCAGAATAGCTGCTTTCTGGAGGGTATCAGGCCGCCTACTCCTTGTAGCACTGAGCCAGCCAAACCACAGAGGCGCCAGGCCCCGAGTGTCCGGCACACTGCAGCCCAGCCAGCAGTATTCCCCTTACACCCGTGCTGAGGCCAGGGCAAGGAAGGTGGCACTGACTACAGATGCCCTCCCTGCCCATGTGCTCTACAGCCCAGACCTTGGTGCCCACCCCTGTGCTCCTGCTGTGATGGGACCTGCTCCCTGTGGCTGGTGACCTCTGAATGACCCAGAGCTGTCCCACTGTGGAGTGTCATTTTGTAGAGTTGCCCAAATGTGAAGGGACAGGAGACTGCCCCACCCCCTCAGACATTGGCTGTTTGCCTTGGGCCCTGCTGAGTGCTGAGCAGTGTTCCTGGACCCCACTGACTCCATGCCAGGAGCTCACCAGCGTGGCAGCCAGATGTCCCCAGACACAGCCTAGCTTCTTAGGGTGGAGTCTTCTGCACAGTGGCCCCTGGGCCAGTGGCACTTTCACTTTGCTCTCTTTCAGCTCTTGTTTTTGGCCTCTCCTGGCAAATCCTGAGCACAGATTTCCTGTAGGGCATGGTACAACACCTCTGACCGCCCCCACCCAATGCACAAGCAGCTCCTCTGTGGGCATCTGTGCCATTCATAGGCCACACCCATGGGCCCCGGATGCTGCGGCCTCCGTGCTGTGCAAGCCCCACCTTACAGGTGTCCCCAGCTGCAAGGTAGACAGTTGAGCTGAGAAGACCCGGTGGGCACAGGACCAGTCAGAGTCTGCTGCTGGACCTGTCCCCCGTCATGGAGCTCTGGTGCTAAGAAATGATACCTGTTCCAGGACCCAGGAATCAGTTTTGTTTTTTATTTTGCTTGTTTTTCTGGTGCTCATGTTTGAACCCAGAGCCTTCACACTGAGCTACATCCCTGGCCTTTTTTTAAAATTTTGAGCCAGGATTTCACTAATGCCCAGGCAGAGTTCAAGCTTATGATTTTCCTGCCTCAACTTCCCAGAGTGCTAGGATGACAGTCCTTTAGCACCATACCTGGCTAACTCCTGGGTTGATTTTTTTTTTTTTTTTTTTTTGCGGTACCGGGAATTGAACTCAGGCCCTTGTGCTTGCCAGGTAAGAGCTTATTCTACTTAACCATCTCCCCGGCCTGGGTTGATTTTTGCAATGAGAATTAAACCAACTCAGCAGGACTCACAGGAGCATGGCAGGACAGGGTCCACGGACCACTTTGAGCCTGGCGTCCCTGAGGCCTCTCCCAACCTTGAGGCAGCCTGCATCCCTGGGGAGATGGCGTCAAGGCCAGCGGGCTGAGTGTCCCTGCATCTGCTGTGACTGGATGTGCCCCTAGCATTCGAGCCCCCCATTGCCATGTGGGTGTCTTCCTACACTTGTGGCTCAGCAGCACCATCAGGGCTGCTGTCCTGCAGCATTCTTGCTTAATGCTGTCCCATAATGGTGCTGTGGCCTCTCCCTTGGCCAGTGCCTCCATGAAGTGCTGGCTAGCCTGATGACTTTGAGAGGACAGATGGCAATGACTGCCAAGCTCATGCAGGTGCTCAGGAGGGTGCTAGCACGCCCTCCGCCTTCCTGTTTCCCTGCTTTCACCCCTTGGAGGTGCAGGCATCAGGACCACAGCAGCAGCATGACGCAGACGGGGCGAGCTGGCTGCAGGCTCCCTGCACTCTGATTTCTCAAGCCCTGTTCCCCGAGCACGCAGGCTCATGGGGAGATCAAAGGGATGCCTGCTTCCTTCGCAAGGAGTACGGCAGGCCGGCTCCAGCCTCCCCAGGTCTGAACTTGAATTAGTTTTACAAGCTGCACGCCACCTTGGATTAGCTCCTCGAGCCCGCTGTGGTGGCACAGCACTGTCTGCTGCACCTGCAGACTTGGGACCTCTTCTTGGAGACTTGCCCTGTCCCTAAGCCACGCACCAGGCAGAGAGTTGACCACAGATTAAACAGAGGATTGGGGGCTAGGTTTGCACAGCCAGGGGACCCCAGTAAAGTGTGCTCAGTCACACCCTGGAGAAACCCTGGAACTCTTTTTTTTTTTTTTAAAGAATTATTTATTTATTTATTTATTCATTCATTCATTTTGTGTGTGTGGCCAGCTCAGCCCACGGGGGGGCGGGGCTGTCTGGCATGTGGTGCTGGGGGATTGAACCGCGGTCCCTGTGCTTTGCTTAGCTTAGCTTGTTCTAAGTAGGTGCTTTAGACCACTGAGCCATCTCACCAGCCCAACCCTGGAACTCTTGGGGGGTGTCGGAGTAGGGGGGCCTGGGATGAGGAAAGGGGGATGCAGATCCCAAGGCACTCTTCTGGAGACCCCCATTCGGCATCCTACTGCCCCCACACCCCATGTCCAACTGCTGAAGCTGGCACTGGATTAGTGGCCCCAGCAGGAGGCAGGTTGTGGGGGCAGCTCTTCCCCACAGCCTGGGGTCCATGAGACCTAATTACTGTAAAACAGCGCCAGCTTGCCTCGGCCCCTCCGAGTATTGTGCGCCTTCTGTTTGTAATGACACTGCCTGCTCTGGGTGATTAACTTGGCCCCAGGGAGGTGGCAGAGGGCTGGGGCCATGGTAGGTGGAGGAGGCCAAGCAGAGGGGCTAAAGCCCCACCCCCAGCCCTGAGACGCTGCTGCCCGGTGGCTGTGCCTCACTAAGCCTGTGATTTATGGCAGTCGCAGGGTTTGCTGTAGATTGTTTTGTGAAATATGCTGTCCTCCTGCACACCATTCCTGTGTGTGGCCCTGGATGTGTCTCCAGCCCCCATGTGGACGCATGGGCTCAAGGTGTCTGATGGTTTAGAGGTGAGCAAGGCTCCAGGTGGAGACCTTGCATTATGTGGCACCAGCACTGGTTGGCTCCACTTGGCTCTTGAGCTCATGTCCCTGCTGTGCAGGTCTGGAGCAAAGACCGGAGTTTGGAGAGATGTACAGGTAGGGTCCTCTGGGTGCTGGGCACACTGGGGCTGCGTGTATTGTGTGAGTCTTGGGCATTGCAGGGTGCCAAGCTGTATATTCCTGTCCTCCACCCACCCCACACCACGTCAGGAGCT